ATGTATCCTAACATGTATGATCTATGTACCAAGTTTGAATGAAAACTGACAAAGCATGTCCAAAATACAACATTTTCAAAAAACAAGATGGCTGCCAGTCAGCCATTTTGAATCAAACCGCTAAACCATTGCATGTGCATATGTCCCACATAAAGCACGAGGCACATGCAAAGAATGAACGGAATCGGTCCAAGGGATTCTGAGATATGACTTCGGACGGACGCACAGACGGACAGAGACCGAATTATAAGTCCCTGTCTCAGTTTACTACATTATCTAATTGACAGATCTTAGAGAGCATATGGTTCTCATTATCAGCAGTATAAAAATGTTTGAAAACTTATTTCAATTTCAACAAATGTTTTATTTCAGCCAAATTTGAACTCGCTTCTCAAAATTTATACATGGTAGTCACACCAAAATTTAACTTAGTTGATATTTTATTATGATTCTCAAGTTTAAAGATGATCAGATTAAAATAGTTTGAGATAAGAAAAATTCTAAGTGAAATTTCACTTATCTTAAAACATAGTTGAACTCTGGTGACCTTGCCCTTTGTTATATAATATAATTCCCTTTATCATAGTTTGTTTCAATATAAATATGCATTGTCATAATTAATTTTGAATACAAACAAGTTTTGGGGTTGAAACAACAGTGGGGAATCAGTCTATCGAATGTCCTTAAAAGATGTAAATATCTTACAAAAACAGTGGTGCCTAATTTGTTTAATTATTTTAAGGGACATAATTTCCATCTTTATTCAAAGTAATTGAGATATTTTAGTATAAAAACAAATGCCTCATCGCAGAAAAAAAGTGCTGCATTTAGACAGGAAATTCATGAAAAACATGCAAGATAACAGAAATTCTTAGCTGGCTTATGTCCAAGTATTTTGTACCATGTGTCTGTCAAAAATTAATGATTCACTGAGACAAATATGAACTGCCTCATTGTGTGACTATTGTATTATATGAAAAGTAAAAAAAAAAACACCCTCTATGAATAGCTATCATGTTGCAAGCTCTGCTTTGTATGCAAATCAACTTAAATAGTTAGTTGGTGTCCAGTGGAGGGAGAAGTCAACAGTACTGTTGCCTCCTGGGAATCTACATCTTCAAACACTGCAATCTTTGTTTTTCAAGTGCGTTTTTTAACTAGTATTACAAAAACTCTATCATTCTGTTCTAATAGCTGAAACATATTCCTGTGATTTTTCATTTGTCAAATGAACTGTTTGTCAAATACAGAATACATATATTTTAGTACAATTTTCTTTTTAAAATGTGGATGAAATGTTTTGCTTTTTATGTGTTTTTTATGTATTGTTTTTGATTTGATAACTTTGAACTGAACAGATTTTCTATTAGCTTCAGATCTTGATCAAAGTTTGGCACCCAGTTCATAGGAGTGCTTATATTGGTTTTCTGACATCTGCAAATGTGTATCAGACTGTGCAAAAAATCTCTCCATGAGTTGGTTTTGAAATCCAGTATAGTATTCCCATGGGATTTGGGGGATACATTACCAAGGATATTATTACAAGATAAATCATTTGCTTCATTGAACACATACAACAATGCATATTTCCACTGAGATCAGTGACCTTTGATGTGTATCACCAGTGATCAGTCATGTAGAAACAGTCAAAATATTTTATCAGATTTTCTCAATTTTTGCATGATATTTTAATACAGGACATCTGTTGTTCAAACTCAGGGAAGACTTTATACTGATGAATAAGGTGACCAAGTTTGATGAAGTTTGGAATAGAATTAGTAAAGTTATTATGCACACAATTACAATTATTAACGACGACGACGACGACGACGACGACGACAACAACGACAACGTCGAACAAAATTTTTCCCTTAATATACCTTTCCCTTTCATCTTTGATGGTTCGGGCAAGGTAAAAATCTATATAAGCCATACCAAAATTGAACTTGGCTAAGAGCACAAACTGAGTAAAAAATATTTAATTTGAAAAAGATCTCACTGATAAAATATTAATGCAACCACAAGATAAAATTATAGGCCAGAGACAAAAATAAAGTCAATATGCACATGTCTCACAAGATTTTGGCATGTTGAAGATATGAGGAGAAGCAGGGATGCATGGGAACATGATGGTCAATTCATAAAGTCAGTTTTATGTGAATCTGCACATCTTTAACATTTACACAGATGATGATAGAGAGGAATAAATCTGAAAAAGCTTTGTAACTGAAAATTATAATATTTATTATTATTTCAAATACTTACATGATCCCATCTATTATTAATAGTATGTAATTGTCTTTGTATTTGTAATGTATTGGAAGAAGGTGATCCAATCTGTTTGACCAACTTATCACCATTCTGAACTACCACTGTCAAGCAATCTTTACGATTACCAAGTTCATCTTCTCTGTCCTGTAATGAAATATAACAATATGAATGTCATTTGAACATCTCGCCCATTAATTATTACTGGTTATTGGGAATAACCAGGAGAAAAATGATGTAAATCAAGGTTCTATAAATCCTTACATATATATATGACCAAGATTTGGTTCCAGAATGACAGGTTTAAATTGACAAACTGTCAGCACTAAAATTGGTCATGAAATGTACATATGCTTGACATGATGTACACAATACAGTTATGTAAGAGACATAGATGCACAGTAGTGAAACTATGACAGAGACTACAACAATCAGGACAGACATTTAAGTTTAAAAGAGGTCCACCCAAGGTGTCTACATAAAAAATATTGAAGTAATTGGGCAAGCCGTTTATCAAGTCGAAAATATTTTTTTTTTTACAAAAAGGTAAAAGTAACATCACAAAATGAACAAATCTGGGAGAGAACCACCCAAGGTACATTTGTAATAGTAGTTATAAATAAATAAACGCTGCTCGGACTGATAAGTATGATATATTGAAGATAATATTTGGTAATCGTAGTCCTAAATAACTATTAAAAATAGCTAGACGTTTCGAGCAATGGGTCTTTATCGATAGCATAGAAGCAAGTGAGATGTATAGTATCAGTATTATGTTGCAAGGTACATTTGCATTTAGTAGGACATTTTTAAGAAGGTAAAAATGGTAATTTTAGAGCAACAGACAATCTGCAATATGAATAGCTCTGATCAACTTCACAGTTAATAAAATTGATATGCAAATGTATGCTATTGTGTCACCATTATAACAACTTTGAAGAAAATCAGTCAGGCATGTCCTAAAAATGAAAATACAAGGAATTGCATTACATAGTCCCTGTGAGGTTTAAGAAATATATAAAGTGAACAGTCAGAGATATGGCTGAACAGCATTCACTAAAAATGGTCATCAGTCAAGTTTGAACAAAATCCGTCCATACACAACCCAGATCCTGCTTTGAAATGGCAGAAATGCTTGATTTTGATGATCATTAAAATAGCCGCTATTTGGCCATCTTGAATCAGATCAACAAACAATTGTATGTGCATATGTATGACATGTATATAAAGTTTGAACATGACTGGTCAAGGCTTGTAAGAGATATAAGTCTGGATCAGCACTGAATAAAACAAAATGGCCACCAGTCGGCCACTTTGAATCTGATAATGTAACAAGAAACATGCATATGTTGCTAAAGATAGGTGAGGTATTCGTGAAGTTTGAATATGATTGCACCAGTAATGGCCAAGATACAGGAAGAAGTATTCTGATTTACAGACGACTGGACTAATAACAATCATGACTTAATGTAAACAATCAAAGTTTTAATGCAATCTGTCAAAACATTTTTTTGGATGAAAACTGGTCGCCAGTTGGTTGAATACAATCAAAACCCCAAAACAATTCAAGAGAATATGCAAACTATTACATGCAGGTAGGCCACATGAGAGAAAAACAAAATGGCTGCCAGTTAAAAAAAATGCATATGCAAATGAGCTATTAAATGAGGAGCCCACGAGAAAAATTAGTTGGCAATAAAAACCTACCCTGACTTTTTCCAATAAATCAAGAAGTGATTGGTCATCTGCTGGAATTGGTAATGGTCTGTTCATCATTCCTTCACATTCATCTAACCAAAACATTAAATCATCTAAATCCTCTTGAAAGTCTTCTTGTTCTATTGTCTCTTTTTCAAACCTGCATCAAAACATGTTTATTAAATTTCAAATAAACAAATGACCTGTTGGTAAAGAATTTTGAATATTTAATACAATTTTTTGACAATCCAGAATTATCAGCAATCAGGTGTTATTGACAATTATCAGCATTGGGCATTATGTCCAATTAGATAGGTAGTTTTCAATTATAGTCACAAAATAAAAAGATCTAATACAGTTTCATCATTGGGCGAATAGTTTTTATGGCAACAAAGATACAAATTTTGATGAAAATTCACAAAACAAGCAGCCTGTCGGCTGAGATAGCTCCGTTGTCAGCAATGCACATGGCAATTAAAGAATAGAAGATATCATTAGAAACAATATGTATAGTATCAGTATTAAGACAAAGCAAAGCCTACAGTGTGGAATAACTCTATAGATTTGTAGTGTTCGCTTTCAGTGCCTTTGAATAAAACTTAGTTTTGGATACCGGTGCTATACAAGTTTTTTTTAGATAGATAAATAGATTTAGATCAAAACAATGGAACTTGTTGTTTTCAACAAGAATTCAAAAATATCACTTTGCACCAAAAATGACAAAAATAATCATCAAAATTAGATAATTGAAGATATAACCCCGAAATGAACAAATCTGAAAGAGATCCACATGTAGTACCTATATGTATAATATCAAAGCAATCGAACTTGCTGTTTTTAACAAGAATTCAAAAATATCACTTTTCACCAAAATGACAAAATATTCATCAAAATTAGATAATTGAAGATATCACCCCGAAATGAACAAATCTGAAAGAGTTCCACATGTAGTACATATATGTATAATATCAAAGCAATCGAACTTGCTGTTTTCAACAAGAATTCAAAAATATCACTTTTCACCAAAAATGACAAAAATATTCATCAAAATTAGATAATTGAAGATATCACCCCGAAATGAACAAATCTGAAAGAGATCCACATGTAGTACCTATATGTATAGTATCAAAACAATTGGACTTGTGGTTTTCAACAAGAAGTCGAAAATATCACTTTTTAGCAAAAATGACAAAAATATTCACCAAAATTAGAGAATGAAGATATCATCACGAAAATGAACAAATCTGAGAAAGGTCTACATGTAGTACCTATATATGTAGTATCAAAGCAATTGGCCTTGCAGTTTTTAACAAGAAGTCGAAAATATCACTTTTTACCAAAAATGACAAAAATATTCACCAAAATTAGAGAATTAAGGATATCATTACAAAATGAACAAATCTGAGAGAGGTCCACATGTAGTACCTATATATGTAATATCAAAGCAATTGGATTTGCGGTTTTTAACAAGAAGTCGAAAATATCACTTTTTACCAAAAATGACAAAAATATTCACCAAAATTAGAGAATTAAAGATATCATTATGAAATGAACAAACCTCAGAGAGGTCTACCCAAGGTACATATACACCAAGTATCAAAGCATTCAGGCTTGTAGTTTTCAAGAAGAAGTCGAAAAAGTAAAACATTGACACGGACGACGACGACGACGGACAATCACTCATATGATGAGCTCCGCTCGACAAAGTCGACAGCGGAGCTAAAAATCTTTCTTACCAGCGGCACATTACTATAAATTATCTTCTAATAGAGCACACAATAATTGTTAAGTAGTCAGGTCTACCTTAAGTGTTATGTAAATATGTAAAACTATATGTGCATTGACTTGTGTATTGAGATGTTAATGATATACCTTTCTTTTCTATCAGATACCTCTGCACAAACTTTCTTCCATCGTGTATTGAGTGCTTCTAATTTGTGTCTCAATAACTGAGCATCAACTGGATTACAGTGACTTGTAATGGCTTCACCAGATGCATTCAAAGAAGAAACCACATTCTGATATGTGGCTATACCATCTTGTATTTTCTATATAAAAACATAGATACATGTAAATAGATATAGTCACTGGTCCACTATTTTACATATAATTATTAATTACAAAGATAAACAAGTTATGGCATAAAAGAGTCTCCCTTAGTTAAATACAGTTTGTAGT